AATTCAGCCTGGCCCAGCCTGGGCTGTTGGGGCATTTGAGGGAAGTGAATCAGGGAACGGAAGCACTCTCTCTCGCTCTCTCTCTCTCTCGCTCTCTCTCTCGCTCTCTCTCGCTCTCTCTTTTTCTGCCTTTCAGGTACATGACAGTAACAAACCATTCTTTTTTTGTTTTAGAACCAGTTAGAATGTGTTTTGTTTTTAAGAGATGAGAAAGCTTGCAGTCAGAGAAATCAGAAGGCATACCCTAAATCTCCCTCTGGGGCTTAACTCTGTTACTAACAATGTTAGGGCTACTTCTAAGACTTTTGGCCCCAGCTCACTACACCGAGTCTTTAAAAAAGAGAATGTACCTGATTCTCCTTCATTTCTGGTGATTCATCCAACTAATGAGGAACAAAGACCAGGGACCCAGGGCAGATGGTGAGTGAGCCAGCTACTGGACTCTATAGCTCCTCTCCACCGTCAGGAGAGAGGCAGCGTACGGGAGCTTTCCCTATTACCCTTCTGCTCCCTGGTTTCTCCTTCAGGGAACTCTGCAAACACCTGCAGCTCCAAGCTGAGCGGCTGCTTGGGGCAGGGGCCCTCTTGGTCATCACACAGCTCTCTGTGAGGCGCACACCAGGCTGGCCTGAGGTCGGACATGCTCTGTACGTCTCTGCTTGGGGAGGAAAGGACGTGAGGAGCCACTCCAGGATAGCTGGGGACAGCTTCTGTAGCGCAGGGCTTACCGCACCCTTCCCATGCTGTGTCTACTAGCAGTGTTCAACTTATTTTAAAGAGATAGTGAATAGCAGAGAAGATGATGTTCAGGAGGAATAAGGAGATGATTAAGGATTATGTAAAGCAATAAAATGGTTGGAAAAATTATTTAGACTCAAATTAGGTAACAGCAATTATAAGAAATGAGAGTAACACTGAATGATTAACAATTAAAAATAGACACAAAATAGTTTAAAGTAAAAAGCTATAATCAATAAAACAGAATTGCAATTAGTGTTTTAAAGTGGAATATAATTAATTAGACATTTTAAAGAGTAATTACTAAAAAGTAGAGAAACTATTATGTCAAAAACTATAATTGATTGAAATAATATTTTAGAAGAGATGAGTCTATCAATAGAAAAATGGATAAAGACCGTGAATTCACATAGGAAGAAATCCAAATAAAAATTTGTATTTGAGAAAGTGTTTAGCTTCATTAGTAATAAAATAAATACAAATTAAAACTCTGAACTAGTGAATTACTTATCGAGGTGTCAGTCATCGAAAACGCAGGGAAGCTACCAGGGAAGCGCTTTTGCATGTCATGCGCTTCAAGGTCGGACCACATATCTTGCCATTCTTGCTGTGGCTGGGGTGTGAGTCCAGTGATCTGGCCAGGGAACCCCACGAAACCTTGCCTGGGGTGACCTCAGAGTTAGCTAACGTGCACCATCTAGTCAGGGTCAGGTTTGGTCCCTCACCTGCACCAGTCAACGCATACACTGACGGATTGCAGCGTCCTGGTCAGTTCTGTCCCCACCCATCTCTCACTGCTGGGCTCTGGGCCCGGCCCAGCTCACCACATGTCTGGTCCTTACGCACAGCAGCGGGCGCTGCTCCTTAATCAGGGCAACTCCCAATAACCCTCATCAGGCCTTCCCCCAGCCCTGGTTCCTGTAAGTACCGGCATGTGCTGCAGCTTAGCCCAACCCAGCCCAGCCGCCATCCAGCTTTCGTGCATACCCATGAGAGCTGTGGCTTAGCTCAGCCTGACCTGCTCCCAGACCCAGTCCACACGTATACTGACGGGTGCTGCTGTCATGTGCAGCCTGGGTTGCTCCAGCCCTGTCTCTCATGCTCACCAGTGGCAGCTTCAGCCTAGCAGGGAAGTGCTTGCAACCCTTTTGTAAAATCTACATTTATGGGCCCGGCACCATAGCCTAATGGCTATAGTCCTTGCTTTGCATGCCCGGGGATCCCATATGAGCACTGGTTCATGTCTCAGCTGCTTCACTTCCCATCCAGCTCCCTGTTGTGGCCTCAGAAAGCAGTCAAGGACAGCACAAAGCCTTGGGATCCTGCACCCACGTGGGAGACCTGGAAGAAGTTCCTAGCGCCTGGCCTTGGATCGGCTCACCTCTGGCCGTGTGGCCACTTGGGAAGTGAGCCAGCAGACGGGAGGCTTTTCACCCTGTCTCCTCTTCTCTTTGTAAATCTGTCTTTCAGATAAAAATAAATAAACCCATTTAAAATCTCGTTTTTGAACACACCACAGTTTACTTACCATTCTAAGGATGATGGACATTTACTTGCTGCTTGGGACGCTGATGGCTCAGCAGCAGCGAACACTCCTGCACGTGTCTGTGGTCAGGGTTAGCTCTGACGTCTGTGATGAGCTGATGTGATGAGTGATGCTGCTTCCGTTTCCGCAGGGAAGGGGTACTGATTCACTCCAGGTCCCAGTTAGTGCTCTGCTGACCACATGCTTGTACCCTGTCCTTCCCCATCTGCACTTGGAAATCCTGTTAGCTATGCTTCCAGTGACCTTAACTCAACAGGGACGCCTGACGTGCGGGCCTCCAGAGCGCTGCTTCCCGCGAGCGGAGACGGCAAAGTGCTGGGTGAAATGGCAGTCGGGGTGGAGTCTTGCCAGGCTCTGATGTAAGCCGTGTGCTTTGGGGAATTCGCTCAGGCAAGAGGGCAATTAGAGGTAGGTTGTCAAGGTCACTTCCATTTTAAAATCTTCTGACTCCTAGTTAAATAAGAAATACATTATCCAGAGTCTTGTTTCAGGATGAAAGGTGAAATACACTTTTGAAATCTATTTATTTGTTTTACAGACACACACACCTGTCCTTAACAGCCAGGGTTGAGTCAGGCTGAGGCCAGCAGCCTAGAACCAACGTGGGCCTTCTACAGGCATTGCAAGCGAGGGCGGAGGCACTTGAGCCACCGTCGTCTGCCTCCAGCGCAGGCATTAGCAGTAGCTGGGTTAGAAGCTGAGCTGGTGTTTGAACCCATGGACTCTGCTAGGGCATGCAGGCATCTTAAGCATCGTCCCAGCTGCTACACCAAACACCTGTCCACTGCCCCCGTCTACCACCACTGTTTTAGAACATGTGAGCAAAACAGTTTCTGCGGAGTTGCCCGTGCTGGGTGCCGTGCAGCGAGCCAAGGCAGCACACCCAGGTAGGCCTTTGTGGAGGCTGTGTCTGCAGGGGCATTAACGACTCACATCAACACACAGGGTTTTTCTGCTGTCCGGCACTGCAACACAAGTGTTCCTACAACCTTGATGCATTCCAAGCATTTGTTATTTGGAAGTAAAGAGCCTAACCGCACTGCGGAGATCTCTCAAGCTCCATGACAGCTAGGTGTTGTTAAATGGCCAGGAGAATGTCCCTGTGCTCTTCAATAAAAAATGGCTTGAAAATTCATCAAGGCTAGAGGAGCCACTCAGGAGCAAGGACATGTAGCATGTTTGTGCTTGTTTAAGCCGCTTGGAGACCATGCCGCATCCCGCACAGAGGACCCCTGCAGGGCTGGAGTCTGGGAGGCCTGGGGGCTCTCATCATTGCCCTTCCTGGCCCTTACCTCAATGCTCAGCGTGGCAGCCACTCTACTGGAGCCAACGTAGCACGAGTTGAAAATGGAGTGTTAGGAGAAAAAAAGCTGTTAGGAGTAAAAACAGCGAAGTAAGAAAGTGACCAGGAGTCGCCAGAAAGCAGCTTTTTGGAACCTTCTACACATTTGGAGCAAACCTGAAGCCAGAGGATCTTGACAATCTTCCAGGGACGTGGCTAAGTCATGCCTCGCAGGGCTGAGCAGCACGCTCACCAGAGCTCATCCTCCAGGCTTGGCACATGTCCCGACAGGGGGGCAGGTCCGTGCGCACATCCCCAGACGGGGGGGCAGGTCCGTGCGCATTAGTGGACAAAACATCTCGTTCTGACGCTTTATTTTTAAATAAGGTGAAAATGAACACTCAGCAAAGCAATTGCTGCTGTTGCTGTCTCTGGGAGAAGACGGTGACGTGGTGTGTTAAGGCCTGCTGTTTATTGTTGAAAGGGGCAGCCTGGAGATAGTGCATTATTACCTAATCTGTAAGACACCTTAAGAACGGTGGTCACGTGCACCAGAGTGCTAACGGAAACAAAAATCAAGCATGTAGGTGGAAACCTCACAACCATGTCTGGTCTCGTAGAGGTGAAATACTCAGTTGTACCAGAAACTTTCCAAAACAGGTGAGCTCAACTCTGCTGGGTGCGTCTCAGCGGCCCCACGACCTTACGCTATTTTGTCAGTCACCTGAGTTTTCTCTGGCTCACTGTCACAAGTGGAAAGAGACGCCCCTTTGGAAAACACACCTCCCTACATACTTGGTGGAAATAATTTATTTTCCATGTTTTCTCATTATGCAGATGTCAAGACCACAGTATTCTAAAAATCTGCCGTACAAAAAGAAATACAACAGGTACGTTGTTACGAAATAGGGACATAGGCCAAATAGGTAAAAAATGTATACAAAGATACACACACATACACACGCGCACACACACGCACATTTTTACGGCTACGTTGTACTTAACGGGTGTGTGCACAAAGGAATCCAGGAGGAGGCTTCATCAGGAGAGTGCATCTTCCTCAGTTAGACTGTCAGTTCTGCCAAACCTGTGTCTCTGAACTCACTCGCCTGTTCCCAGAATACTGTTTTCAAAGCGAGGAAATTGAACTTGCAAGGTGCCCAGAGGGCAGCTACTTGGGCGTTCAGGACCACAACTCCCCGAATGCCCTGCGCTCTCCGTCCCAACACCCACCGCGCCTCACGGAGACTACAACTCCCACTTGACCCAGAGCTCCGGAAACCCAGTCAAACTCTCCCTGTTGCCATAGCATCCGGCGCGGGCCAGCCAACTGCTGCGCCCCGGCCGCCCGGAGGCGGGCCATCCGAGGGTCCGGCCACTCCGAGCGAGGCGACGGGGCGCGTGACCGGAGGAGGCGGGGCGCGGCGCCTTCTCCTTGCCCGGGGTCGCGGCCTGGCACCCGGCGCGCCCGGAGGGGTCCCGGCACGTGTGCGCGCGGCGCGGGCTGTGACAGCGCTGGTGCGCGGGCCGGCTGTCCGCGGAGCGGCAGGCAGGCGCCATGGGCGGCAACGCCAGCACCCGCCGGGTCACCTTCGAGGCGGACGAGAACGAGAACATCACCGTGGTGAAGGGCATCCGGGTGAGTTCCGGCGGGCGGACCCCTGCCCGGCGCTGCGGGCCGTCCCGGGATCTGTGCGTCCCGGCGCGGTGCCAGCCTGGGAGCCGGCTGCGGCGTCCCTCCCCTCGGGGCTCCGCGGGCACGTGGTGCCCCTCCGGCTCGACCCCGGCCGCGTGCAGCTGCCTCCCCGCGCGCTGGCCGGGGCGCCCTGTGGCCCCAGCGCTGGCACCTGCCGCCGGGCAGTTGCTCAGAGCAGAAGACACCACGACCCCCGAGGGCTGCGGGGTTCCCTTATGCCCTCCTCATGCACTTGGCACAGAAACTGCAAACTTGATCGTTCTCCACGGTGTCACTAAAGCACACGAACTTCACTTAATTCTGTCCGTTGCCCTAGAGTTTGGCGCTTCGCTTTCTGTTTTTCTTCTTCTTTTTTAAGTACCAGAGTGCAGCTAGTAAATAAAGTAGTTTTGACTTAAGGGGGTTAAATGATACTTTATATTTTTCTTCCTGTGACACCTACCAGGTCAGCGTCTGAATGAATGTTTCAATTATGTTTACTACTTGTTACTTGTTTACTATTTGTTACAATGTATTCAGCATTGAACGTGCTTACCAACTTTCCCTTCTTGGGGGAATGATTCAAGTCTTCTGTGTAGAAACAGACCGTGGAACTCTATTTTTGGGCTGTGACCAACATTTGTTGATATGTGAATTATAATAAGGACTATATTTTGCAATAAAAGATTGAAGGCTGCATTCTCTGTTACTGTGGTTTAGTAAACTGCATTTGATGCAGAGATTTTAAAGAAAGTCTTGCGTTTGGCTAAGGGTGTTCCACAGCTGAGGGTGGAGGAGGCGAGGCAGGAGTCTTAGGCGAGGTGGTTGGGTAGGAGGACACAGACCCAGCAGCTGGGGGAGGCTCCCAGAGGAGTGGACCAGACGGAGATTCCTCTCCCACAGGAAGAAATGCAGGAGCGGAATTAATTCTGGAAAGAAGGGTGGTCTAAAAATCTGTTTTAAGATTTTGAAAACAATCTCTGTATTGGCCAAGGAGCTAGACAGAGTTCTTGAGTGTTTACTTTCCTAGCAGGTTGTGTTTGTTGCATTCCTGGACTCCCGGGGGCGCCCGCTCTCCACCCCTCCCTGTGGGGCCCTTTTCTCGGTCTGGCCTCCCTTTGCCAGGATACCGTGCACCTGAGCTTCAGTTTTCTCAGGTGTGGAGTGGTGGGGCGGCGTCCCGGGTCCTGCTGCTGTGGTTGTTTTCTCTGGCCGCACTCGGCGCATGGCACACCGCTGAGTTGGTCAGTGTGCTCAGAGGTCATTCTCATTCCTTTGAGGTCACTGCAGTGAAACAGTTCTCAATTTCAGTCTTGGGCCTGTGACCTTGGGTAAGTCATGCGTCTCATCATGTTTCGTGCCTGAAAACAGGACTCCACTGTCACTCCTGTTGTTGCCTGGGACGCAGGGAAGGGCTTGACAGGCCTCTGGCTTCCTGTGGGTTTCCTTTTCTTTGCCTTCCTGTTTTTTTTTTTTTTTTTCAGATTTACTTATTTTTATTGGGAAGGCAGATTTGTAGAGTGGAAAAGAGACAGAAAGATCTTCTATCCACTGGTTCACTCCTGAAATGATCTCAACAGCAGAGCTGAGCTGAGCTGAAGCCAGGAGCATTGGGACATCCGCTACTGCTTTCCCAGGCCACAGGCAGGGAGCGGGGAGGGAGGTGGAGCAGCTGGGACAGGAACAGGTGCTCGTATGTGATGCAGCGCTTGCCAGTTAGCCAGTTGAGCCATCACACACCCTCCTCTAGATTTTTGATAAAAGGTAGCCATGATTTCACACGTAGAATTCTGGGAATCCCGGAAGTATTATCATGGAAAGAGGATGCTGTGAAAGAACTCAGACCTGAGTTTGATCTGGCTGTGCCTCTCAGAAGCTGTGTGGCTGTGGACGGGTCACTTTTGATTGTAAATGCAGATCCTTCAACTGGTTTGTGAGAATCTGACAGACCTCATGCTTGTAAGCAGCCAGCAGTGCCTCGGTTGGTGGCCTTGTCGGCACTGATGTATATCAGCTGTTAAGAGAACTGGTGGCCCAAGTGGATACATTCTACCCAAACTTAATTAGGTAAGAAGAGCCCACCGGCTGTGGATGCAGTGGGAACTGGATGCTGGGTTCTGTCCCTGTTGCCTGTGCGATTGTGTCTGGTAGTTTGTTGATTTTCTTTCAAGGTCGTTTTGTATCTTTCCGGGCTTGAAGGCATCCTGTAGTTTCCTTCCGGCACTGGGAAGGATGAGAAGCAACCTGTCAGGAGTTGAACTGCTGTCTCTGGTCGGCCCACTTGAGGCCCCACTTGGTGATAAATTCAGCTTGGCTGCCAAACCTGCGCTAGCTTTGTCTGGTTGTCTGGCTTTCCTGTCCTCGTGGTAAGAAGGGAGGCTGCACCAGCAGGTCCACTGTCAGAAGCCGAGCTCCGTGTTGTGGCCCTCAGTGAAGGGTAGGGCTTTTATTTTCATCTGTCTTAAAGGTAGAGGGACATTTAGTGAGCATCGTACCAGGCCAGGGATATTAATAGGTCATGTTTTCTCACTGAGGTTTGTAACAGCAATTTAAGGACTTGTCTACAATTGAACAGTTAAAGCTTCCGCTCGCCCCCCTGGTGTTACTGTTGTGATATTTATAGGGTCTGTGCTTTTCCCTCGTGTGTTTCCCTTTATCATTAGTGATTAAAGGGTTTTCTCCCCTCTTCCATGAACACCTGTGCTCTTGCACTTGGTTCCCGTTCAGCTCTGCACTGGCTCCTGCGGCTTGGATGAAGGACAGCCCGCTGCCTGGCTCTCCTCGCTGGGCCCAGAAGGAGTTGTTCTTGAAAGGAAGCCTGGGCGTGTTCATGGTTACACGTGCTTAACAGGATTTGTGTGTGCACCTGCTGTGCCTGCTTGAAAAGTATGCTTTTGACTCACTCTTTCACAAGTTTATCTGAAACATCAAAGCTGTGAGTGAACTCTTCCAGAGCAAGTGTCAGCTTCAGTGGTATCATTTTCAAAGTACTATTTATCATGCTTTCCAGGCACAGTGGGTCTCTGCAGCCCAGGCTCCCAGGAGCCAGTTGCAGCAGCGTGGAGATTTCTGTGCAATACAGCTCTGGCTTTGGGGAGTGTTGACCATTGAAAACGAAGAGCCTACTTCCGGTGGGCGGCTAGGGCAGATTCTGGAGGGAGCGCATCAGCAGAGACCACAGATCAGTTAGCCGTTGGGGGTGTTGAGGAATGTTGTGTGAATAATTCAGTTAACCACTGGATGATTGGCTCATTTCCACTTCAGATTCAGAGCACCGTGTTAGATGAGGCTTCCTAGGGCTCCAGAAAGTGTATGGCTTCTGTGCATGACAAATGCAGAGCTATCCCAGTGCTGTTGAGCAGGGTCGGAAATTGCATATTGCTTATGTATGGGTCTCTGTGAGTGGAGCACTCCCTCCTGCTTCCTATGCGTTTAGAGTGGTTTTGGAGCCTTTGGCCTAAACTGGTCCTTGAAGAGCCAGCGTGGGCTCTCACAGAAGGTGAGCCGTGCAGTGGGAAAGGAGGACCAAGTGGCCTGCCTGAGTTTGGGATGAGCAGCACAGCTGTCCCAGAGGTGGAGCCTCCCTTGTCTCCTTTGGTCCACCGCGTCCCCTCTTAGAGAAGGGGTTACTGCAGCTGCTCAGCTTGGCCGCGCCCTCCCTCAGTCTGTGAATCCGGGGTTCCGGGCTACTGGGTGATGTGCTTGGCCGAGTTCGGATGAGGACACAGCTGGGTGACACGGCTGAGTGGGGTCCTAAAGCCCCCTGGTGTCACTGTTGTGGTGAGGAGTGCTCCAGTGGATGGGTGGGCGATCGATCTCTCTCCCCCTCTGCCTATTTTTATTGCAAAAAGTCAGATATATATAGAGAGGAAGAGAGACAGAGGAAGATCTTCAGTCCAATGATTCACTTCCCAAGTGGCTGCAACAGCTGGTGCTGTGCTGATCCGAAGCCAGGAGCCAGGAGCTCTTCCGGTTCTCCCACATGGGTGCAGGGTCCCAAGGCTTTGGGCCATCCTTGACTGCTTTCCCAGGTCACAGGCAGGGAGCTGGAAGGGATGTGGAGCAGCCGGGATTAGAACTGGCGCCCATGTGGGATCCCGGGCGTTCAAGATGAGCGTGTAGACAGCTGAGCCATCACTCCTGACTCTGTTCAGCTTTGCGCATGAGTTCCTCAGTGGCTGCTGTTGGTTGTTGGAGTCAGCCAGCCCTGACGTCTTCATAGTCCTCCCTTGGCACTCAACTTCTCTTTCTTCTACTTGTATTCAAGAAAGGACTCTGGTTTTTTTCTTTCAAAGGGTGTGACTTCTGGGGTGAGATCCTCCTCTTTCTGTGTAACCTCCCTTCTTTGAGCCCCGAGCCAGAATAGCTGTACTGGAGCAGGCACTTCACCCAGGTCTCCCTGGGCTTTGATTAGTGCTGTGCGCAGTAAGCAAGTGTTGAATAATAACACATTCATGTGTGTTGGTGCCTGTAATCTCCTGGGAAGATAGAAAGCAGCTGTGGGAAGGCAACGGCGGGTTCTTTCCTTGGGACTGGCTCTGCCATTGGAAGTTTGTGCAGGGTACTGTGGGCACAGAGGTAGGCAGGGTTGAAAAAGCCAGGCTGTTCAGCTTGAGAAGGACCAGGAGGGTCGGCATTGTAGGCATGTGCCAAAGCAAGGAGCTGGCCACTTTCCAGGCGATGATGTGGAGGTCACCGGTGAAGGGTTGGAAGGCCAGGGTGACATCACCGTGCATCTGTTTATCCGTGGTACCATGAATTAGGTTGGAAGAAATTGGGAGGAGGAATGATGGAGTGCCTAAATACTTAGTGTTGAAGAACATGGGGTGAGAAAATGAGGGAGATGAGCTGAGGCCAGGTTTCATGCTCTGATAAAGAATTTGGGTGGAAATGGGCTGAATGAGAAAGGGGAGGAAGAAGGCATGTGTAAGGTGTGTCTGTTCCAGAAACGCGGCACAGGGAGGGGAACATTCCTGCCACCAAGGGCCATCAGGATATTTAGAGCATCATTTGTGGGCCAAATAAATTATGAAGTTAAAAATTAGCTTGCTATATATGCATCAAATCTGAGTTCCGCTTGCAGTTCCCTTGGTAAGGCCTGTCCACATGATGTCATAGGCTTGAAGTGTCCCCCAGGCTGAACAGCCCCCTGATGTGAGGGCTGGTGCCCTGGGGCAGTTCCATTTTTGGACCTCACATTTAGGGTACAGGTCTGGGGCTGCTTTTAGAATTTATGAATTTATCGACAGTATTTAAAACTGAGGTTAGAGGAAAGATCAGAGTATGTGGAATGAGAAGCAGGTAAGAGCAGGGCCCAGGTTGTGTGGCCCGGGCAGCAGTTACAGGTGGGCAGCAGTCTTGAGAGAAGTGGGAACTGGAAGGCGCGCACACGCAGGTGTAAGATGCTAGCGGGAGACCATGGAGAGGAGGTCTTTACACTTAGCAGGTGTATTTACTTAAGCAGATACTGAAGGCTCTGTGGCTAGTGTGGCTGTTACTTGAACGCCCCACTGCTGCACCAGGGTGAGGCTGCCAGGTGGAGAGTGGAGAAAATGGACACTGGGGGAAGTGTCCAGGAGGAGATCAGCCACTGGCTTGAATGTGGATGACTGCTGCTTGGGCCCCACAGCTGGTGAGAAGGGGACTTGGCAGTGATGACAGGTGAGGGAGGCGGCCTTGGGACAGCCCTCCCTGCGCTGTTGAAGCCGGGCAGGCCAGGGAAAATGACCCCTCTGGCTGTGCTTCAGTCTGACTGCCAGGCGTGTGAGGGGTTAACTAGGCAGTGCTTATGGCTTGCGCTGCGGCTCATCCAGTCGCTGGTTAACTGTGACCAGATGTAACATGTTATCGGTGATTACTCTAGAAGGCCTTACCGGTTTCATCACGCAGCAAGGTCTCTGCTGCCCTTAGACCGTCAGTTCCTTCCCTGGCCCTTTATAACCACTTGTCTACTCTGTGGCAGTGAACTTGCCTTTTCTGGGCTCTGCGTAAGCAGAAGGACAACACAGCCGTCTTGTGTGGCCAGCCTCTTGGTCCACCTGTGCCTGCCTGTGTGTCAGGATGTCACAGTCCTCTGTCGCTTGCCTGGAGAGACGGTTCTGTGTGTTGGTTTCCACTCCTGCTGATACGAATGATGCTCCTGTGAGGTCTTTGTGTAGACATGTGCCTAACAACCTCTTCGTCAATCCCTTGGCCTCCTGCAGGGTCCCTGCTGTTCTTGTCCCCCTGCAGTCTGTCCTGCGCCCCGGAGCCCCAGTGATTTCCTCAAGTCATTTGCCTGCCTGTGATCACGGAGTGGAGCCCAGCTCGGCCTGAAACCTCCAGTTCCCTCACTGCCTTCTCTTTTCATGGTGCCTCCTGTGTAGCTTCATGCTGCAGCCCTTCTTTTTTTTTTTCCCCAAATATTTGTTTTTACTTGACAGGCAGGTTTACTCTGGCTCACTTTCCAGCTGGCCGCAGCAGTCGAGCTGGGCTGGTTGAATCCAGGAGCATGGGAACTTCTTACACGTCTCCTGTACAGGTGCAGGGCCCAAAGACTTTTGCCATTTTTCATTACTTTCTTAGGCTGTCAGGGGGAGACTGGATTGGAGGGGAGCAGCCTGGACGTAAAGTTCGCACTGGTGTGGGATGCTGACAGCACGGGGGGTTAAGCTGTGCCCCACGGTGCCGGCCGCTGCTTGCTTCTCTGTTCTCTCACTGAAATGGCATTCATCATCTACCGGGGTAGGTGAGCGAGTCTGGGTGATGAGGTCATAGGGCAGCAGTAGCCTTGCTTCCCTGGACAGTACCAGCCCTCAGGTCCTGTGATGGCAGTGAGAGAGCTGACAGTGATTTGGGCTGTTGGCTCGCGTCTGCAGGCCTGGCTGTTCCTCGGAGTCAGCTCCCAGTCTCCTGCTTGGTCTCTGCTTGGGAGTCTCATGGAGGCAGACCCCCTTTCCTACCTATACGGAGAGTGGCTTCCGCATTCTGGAACCTTCTCCACCTACCCTCTTTTTTTTTTTAAAGATTTATTTTTATTATTTTTCTATTGGAAAGGCGGATATACAGAGAGGAGAGACAGAGAGGAAGATCTTCCGTCCGATGATTCACTCCCCAAGTGAGCGCAACGGGCCGATACTATGCCGATCCGAAGCCAGGAGCCTCTTCCGGGTCTCCCACGCGGGTGCAAGGTCCCAAAGCTTTGGGTCGTCCTCGACTGCCTTCCCGGGCCACGGGCAGGGAGCTGGAAGGGAAGCGGGGCTGCCGGGATTAGAACCGGCACCCATATGGGATCCCGGGCGTGCAAGGCGAGGACCTTTAACCACATGCGCCACGGCCCCGGGCCCTCCACCTACCCTCTTTTCCAAAACCCTTGGCCTCCTGCCGCTGGCTCGTCCTAGGGCTCTATATATACAGAGATGAGGAGAGACAGAGAGGAAGATCTTCCGTCTGATGGTTCACTCCCCATGTGACCACAACAGCTGGTGCTGCGCCAATCCGAAGCCAGAAGCCAGGAGCCAGGAGCTCTTCCAGGTCTCCCACACAGGTGCAGGGTCCCAAGGCTTTGGGCTGTCCTCAGCTGCTTTCCCAGACCACAAGCAGGGAGCTGGATGGGAAGCAGGGCTGCTGGGATTAGAACTGGTGCCGATATGGGATCCTGGCGCTTTCAAGGGAAGGACTTTAGTCGCTAGGCCACTTCACTGGGCCCAAAAATAACTGAATTTTAAAAAGAGCAATTGCATATGATTTTGAACTAGAGGAAGGGATGAAGAGAGGAAAAATTTGAATGTGTTTTAGGGAGTTTAGCAAGAAAGAACGTGCTAAGGGCTGTTGCAAAGTGGCTTCCGTCTTTTCCGAGGTTACACTCTAGTGTAGTAGAGTAAGTAGAAGTTATTTCTGATGAGTAGTTCGTGCATCAGGACAAGTAAAAAAGGAGTCTGGGGGACTGCATCCTGAAGCCTTACGGCTCTCGTGTGCTGCTTGGAGCGAGCCCAGTGTCCCCAGGCTGTCGTACGTGTTGGAGTGGATGGCCAACTCCCCTGACTGATACAGCCCTGGTGTGGGCCCTTCTGTGCTGCTCGGAGCGAGCCCAGTCCTCAGGTGTCGGACGTGTGGGAGTGGATGACCAGCTCCCCTGTTACCGCCCTGGCTGTCTGGTTCCTTTATCATTGATTTCATTTTGATGTTGTTGTTTCAGCTTTCGGAAAATGTGATTGACCGCATGAAGGAGTCCTCTCCGCCCGGCTCCAGGTCTCAGCGGCACCCTGGTGTTTACGGAGCCTCAGGTACTGCCAAATTTTCATTGTGCAGATTTAAGAAGAATCATGAGAACACCTGCTCATGAGTCAGGTTCTCTGCCTTTGGTGTCTGGCTGTGCAGCTCCCTGCAGGAGCGCTGGGATGCAGACTCAGGCTCCTGTGCTGACAGCCAGTCTACTTGGAAGTAGTCTTTGGAAATGCTGATTTTTCTTCCAATTCCTCAACTGTCTTCCAGGCTTTGGAAAGTTATTTCATGTTTGTGTGCATAATTGATTACTTGTAAAGATTTAGAAATAAATATTTATGAAATACTTGGAACTTTGAAAATACTGGTTTACTGCTTGCAAATTGTAAAATAGTTCAAGTGGATTTTTTAAAGCAGTTTCTTCTGAGTTCATGAAGATCTAGATTGTCGTACCTGATGTTTCTCACTAGTACAATACAAATGGAGGTGACAGTCTGTCTGTCTGGCTTGGATCAGAAGGAGGTGAGTGGAGCCCGAGTGTCTGTCTGTCTGTCTGGCTTGGATCAGAAGGAGGTGGGAGGTGTCACGTGATTTCTGGCCCTTTTCTCTCCCTGCCGCACTCACCTGGTCATTCAGCAAGGGCTTCGCACCTGCTGCGCGCCTTGCCCATTCAGCAGGTGGACAGGTGATGAGGATAGCAGCGAGACAGTAACTGACTGCGGCTGCACTGGGTGAGATTGTTGTGTGTGTGTGTGTGAGGGAGGCCTCCATCTGCGTTAAGCAGGTGAAAGGAGATGCCCCCCAGCGTCACGCCCTTGGCAGTTGTCATTTTCCCCTTCTGAGTCATTAAATCAGTTGCATTGAGTTTTTTTTTTTAAAGACTTGTTCATTGGAAAGGGAGATTTAAAGAGAGAGATACAGAGAGAAAGATCTTTAGCTTGCTCATTCATTCCCCAAGTGGCAGTAATGCCAGAGTTGGTTGAGCTGTTTGAGTTGAGCTGGTCCGAAGCCAGGAGCCAGGAGCTTCTTCTGGGTCTCCCACGTGGATGCAGGGTCCCAAGGCTTTGGGCCGTCCTCGACTGCTTTCCCAGGCCACATGCAGGGAGCTGGATGGGAAGTAGAGCAGCAGGGAAATGAACTGGCGCCCATGTGGGATCCTGATGCCTGCAAGGCAAGGATTTAGCCACTGAAAAAACAATGAGTGTATTTCAAACTTTTTGCAGCCAAGCAAACTTATCTTTTAATGCCATTTTCACATGGACTTGTTGTAGTCGAGTTTGTAGCACAGAGAAGACCCGGATAAATAAGGAAAGTTCTTGCTGGGCCAGCGTGGAAGCCTAGTGGCTAAATCCTTTCTCTGTAACTCTATAAAATCTGCCTTTCCAATAAAAACAAATCAGTCTTAAAAAAAAAAAAGTTGCTGTCCTCTTGAAGCTTCTTGGAGCAGTTTTGGTTAATTCATACAAGATGGGAAGTGGGTGTCTCCTTCCCTGCTGGAAGCTGTCGCACTCTTCCCTTCTCCTGGCTTGCAGTCCTCAGTCCACTGTCTTGCTGACTCCTGCTGACGCCCTGTTGGCTGCACTGGCCGTGTTACACGGCTCTAAGTGCATCTGGCTGGTAATAGCCGTACTGGACAGTGCCCTGGAATGCACCAGTGCTTAGCACGGTGAGCCCTGCAGTGGCTGGGGTTGTGGAGCCCGAAGGCTGTGTGTGTGTGTGTGACATGGTGAGCCCTGCAGTGGCTGGGGTTGTGGAGTCCGAAGGCTGTGTGTGTGTGTGTGGTTTCCTGCCCCTGCCGTATCCCAGCTGCTGTGCAAGTATTGGTTAGTGGAAACTTCAGGGACATTCCACCGAGGTCTGTTCTCTTCCCTCCATCTTGGGCACAGCTGAGCCGATGGCGCCATGGGCCTTGCACATCCCTGTCTTCCTGACTGCTCTGTCATCCACAGGCGCGTAGACAGACTTCTGCACACAGCAGGACTCCCCAGTGCCAACCGCACCCAAGGAAGGCACTAAGATGTGACACGATCTTTTGAAGTGAACTTGCCTTTAGGTTAAAAATTCAATTAGACTATGATTGCATAAATTAACTGTGATTTGTTCTTCTTGGAACAAAAAAATGTTGATATAAGTTGAAAGCCTCAAAATTTATGTTCTCTTTTGAGTTGTCTCATTTCAGGGTTTTAGTTAGTACTCAATAGATTTCTTGTAATTTATAATTTAGATGTGCTATGAAATAATTTTTCTAGCCTACAAAAATATATTGATGAAAATGTCACCAGCTTTTTTTTTTCCTTTACATTTTTCAGTGTCAAGTAAATTATTAAGTATGAGTTGAATGTTTAATGTTTATTATAAAATGCTTTCTGCCTCACAGGACTCTCACGGCAGCCTCGGGCTCCTCATCCTGTGGTAGAGGCAGTGTGAGGGGCCGCGAGCCACACGACCTTCTGCGCAGGAACCGAGTTTTGTCACATGCATGTTTTTTCCCTTAAGGGTTATTTATTTATTGGAAGGGCAGACAGAGGCTCGGCTGAGTTCCTTCCCAGCTGGCTGGGCCGGGCTGAGATGAGACCTGGTCAGGCTCCCACACGGGGCCAGAGCCCAAGGGCTGGGGCCGTCTGCTCCTTCTTAAGGCGCCCCAGCAGGAGCCGGGCGAGGGGCGGAGCTCTCTGGACTTGGACTGGTGTCATGCAGAATGTTGAACTCTGTGCCAACGCGCACGTGAGGTTTTGAGGCTATAATTTTTAGTGTAAAAGGAGTTGCTCTGAAGACTTTCCTGAAACTAATTTTTTTTTCCAAACCTTGCACTAGATCAATGACTTTTTGCCACAAGTATTTGCATACAAAGCTCTTTGGGCAAAATAATATTCTGGCTGACACACAGCAGATTGTAATTCCTCTGTAGTAAATGAGTGAGCTCTGAGGAACGGAGCTGTGTCCCCAGCGCCTCGCATTGTTGCTGCATTGTTTCAGCTGGATTCGGTTTGCTTTTATACCAGGCACGTTCTCTCCTAGGCTGACTTCAGGGTGTGCTGTCACACATGGGTAAGAAACTTCTTTTCATTAAAGTCTTGCATCTTTTGATTTAAAAAACCAATGTTGGGTATTGATTTTTCCCCTTTCCATCCTGGTCTTTGTTTTTTTCTGTCTTTTGGAGAGGTCAGATCTTTTGTGTTTGTTGCTGTTGCTGGAGGAACTGTGTGCTCAAATCAATATGAAAAACCCAGACAGGAAATTATATTAGGAGGCTATTTGCTGTTTTCCGGAGCCACAAGCAGCCAGGTGGCAATGACGAATCTGGGAAAAGAGACAAATGGGCTCACTTTATTATTATCCTCACAGCGCAAGTTTCTCTGAAAACCTCTTGTCATTGTGAAAAATAAGGAAGATTTGGCGATTTGTGTTAAGTATGTCACTAAGTATCAGGCAGACTTACGGGGAGCCGGGGAGCCGATGGGGGCAGGAAAGAGCAGAGCTCGAAGGAAACGGCCAATTTGGGGACACAGAATCATCTATGTGTTCTCTGTGTTTTCCGCCCAGAATCTGGCCCTTGTTTCTAAGCTGCTCTTTAAGGCTGTTTAGACAGAGCAAGTGGGCAGAGTTCAGAGGTGATGAGCCTCGCCCATTCCTCTGCCTGGTGAACTGAAGGAAGTGGCTGCGCCAAAGCTTGCAGCTTTTAGGGCTTGAAACTTTGTTGTTGCTAATGTGTACACTCTGTTTTTTTGAGGGTATGTTGTAATGCCTCATTTCCTTGTCAGTTTCTAATAGGAATATGTATGTCCACTATTGAATTAAAGAAACTAGATCTCCTGGCCAGGGTATTCTGCTCTTAAGAAATCCAGGAATGGTCCATGTGTGGCCGATGGTTAGGAACCCGTATCGTTTAGTTAGTTATGTCAGTCAGCATGTGTTGGCATGGTAGCCATGTGCTAAATACACATTTTTTGGTGTTTGTTTTTATTTATCACATAGACACACACACACACACACACACACACACACACACACACACACACACACACACACACACACACACACACACACACACACACACACACACACACACTGGGGTAGGGGAGGGGAAAAAGAGAGAGAGAGAGATATCTTCCATCCACTTGTTTACTCCCCGGATGGGCATAAGGGACCAGGGCTTGACCAGGCTGAACTCAGGAGCTTCTTTGAGGTCTCCCTGTGGTAACGGGGTGTAAGCCTTGGGCCGTCTGCTGCTCTCTCCCAGGCCTGAGCTGGGAGCTGGACTGTGGAGTGTCGGGGAGAGAACCAGCATCCCTACGGGCTGTCGGCCTTGCAGGCAACCTGACACGCCACACCACCACCACCACCTCCTAAGGTTTGTTGTTTTCCCATAAGACTGCAGTAGCTGTTGAGCAGTTCCAGCTAGTTTTAGGGTATTAGGTTAGAAAGTTGTATTAATTGCTCCTTCAGCTATACGAAGATATTGATAACATTCTCTTCTTTTTTTTCAAGATTTATTTTTGTTGGAAAGATTTAAAGAGAGAAGGCATAAACAGTGATAGTGAGATATTCTATCCATTGATCCACTCCGCAGATGTCAGCGATGGCTGGAGCTGAGCCCATCTGAAGCTAGGAGCTAGGAGCTTCATCCAGGTCTCCCGTGGGGACAGGTGCCCAAGCATTTGGTCTGTCCTCCGTTGCCATCTTAGGACAGAAACAGGGAACTGGATGGGAAGTGGAACATCTGGGACTGGAACCGGCGCCCATATGGGAAGCTGGGGCTGTAAGGTGGAGGATTAGCCAGTTGAGCCATTGTGCCGGCCCCATTAATACCATTGTCGTGGCTAAGAAGGCATACTGACTTTTCCAGTGAGATCTCTGCTCAGCAAATCTGAATAGTGAAAACGTGTGTTTTCCACTCTAGTACTAAATAAAGCTGCGTTCGTTTTCAGAGGAAAACAAGTAGCTCATAAATATCTTATTTGTCCTTGAATGATCCCTTCAGCAGCCACAGGCACGGCATCTGGACCCGTTGCTCCCGGTTCTTGAGGCACTGCGGCATTGTGGGGTGTGGAAGAGGACTTCC